TCGGTGGTCAGAATCGGTCGCCAGAGAGGTCTAACGAAGGAAAGGAAGACAAACCAAACCAACCACACCGGATCGGTCGCCAGGATCGGTCACCAGTGATCCTATGGTTCTTGGTCGCTGATCCGGAGAGAATTAGTCCCTGATCCGGGAACAGTAGTCGCTGATCCAGCAGTCGCTGATCCTGGTCGCTGATCCGGACCCTCAGTCGCTGATCGGACATTTATTCCGTAACCATCTGGAACCTCACTTCAATCGCTTTAAAACATTTAGTTGCACGATGTTGCAGGCGTACTTAACAAATAGAAATTAATTAACATGGTTCTCAAAAAGGTTCAATCGTTGAATGCCGATTGACATGCGGTCACTACACAAGGGCTTCGGGAAACTTATCTTGGACAAAGGAGCTCGAAGAGATCAAAAGCACCAGATCCATCTCGATCCAACTGCTCTATGACGAGCCCCACCTGCGTCCATTTGGACACGACTTGTTGTCTTATACACTAGGACGTTGCTGTCTCTTTCCCACACACACATCAGCCATACCGCAGTGTCAAACGTCAGAATCAGAATACGTGCGGTGATTCTCATTGAAGATGGAATCGCATGTACAAAAGAATCTGACTGCAGAATCACGGGTCTATCGAGTCTACCGTGTCTGCAGTGCCAACATCATGGATGAGACGTCCGAACAGCTAAGGTCGCTGTTCCCCGCCTCCTGCTGCTCCGCTTTGCTCCGTGGAAGCATTCCAAACTCCTGGTGCTTCGGCTGTTACAGCCTACAAGTGTTGCAACTGTGAACGGTAGGTCAAGAGCTGGTTGAGGCTTGATGGGTGTTCCAGTGTTCCCTAGTTCCTCACACCGTCCTCACTTGTAAGTAATCTCACCAGCCAGTTCTTCGCCACAGGTCGGCATTTCATTGGACGTCCGAGTCATGATACATCATTGCTTTCTCGTGGACAGCCATCGCATATCCGGTGATGACTACATAGCCATGGCAGATATTTGCAAAAGTCTGACTCCTGCCCTGAATTCGTCCTCGAGAATTCCGTAGATTTCTTGCATGCTCAGTTGCCCGCCTGTGCGTTCAAAAGACCCAACCGACCAATGCACCACGGCTCAGTCACTGGCTCACACCATGCTTGACTTGGTTCCGTGCTGTGAGCAATGTGATCGTGCTGGGCTTGTGGATGCTCAAATGAACAACTGGTAGTGAGGTCTAGCAAAACCCAAGACCCGCTTGGATCAATGATTTGCTTGGCTTCAGCCGAGATACTTCCGTCCCGATCGTAGTACCGGAAGCTAGCTGTTAAGTCCTTCCCAGCACGTGCTGCCACTGCAAGTCAATTAGTACCACCAACGCATAAAACTCCTGTCCCGCTTTAGATCCTTTCACGCGCTTGTAAGATGCGATTAGTGATTAGTGGTGTCATCAAGCTGATGGTCGCAAACGGCAAAATGACTGCACTCATGAATGTGCTGGCTTTGTAAAGCCTTCTTGCCCGCACTGAACCAATTGCTTGAATGCTTATGCTTGCCCTCCTCTTCCAGACTGGCACGGACCGCCAAACGCCCCTGTGCGCTGCGCCATAACATTGGAAGAAAAGTAATCTGTCATGAGTGAGTCATGAGATATGTTTTAAAGATGTTTTAAGGCTATGATTACGCCAATGTACGAAAAACAAAGAATCATCTGGCGCAGTGCATCACCTTATACAGTTACATTCTGTGTTATGTAATCCAACAAAGGAGCCAAGCATCATGTTTCCCACCTCTTGGTTGTGTTGAGGCTTGTCAATGTGATGTGACATTAATTGCTAGGCAACACTATACTTCCCCATCACAGCAGTGGGAAAAAGAATCAATGGCTTGGTCGATAGAAGATATCGACAAACAGAATCAATGCTTAACAAAGCCCTGCGTGTCCATGTGTTCCAAACTGGGATCTGCCGCGTGTCCGAATAATTCAACCACACCTTCTGCATGATGTCCAGCAAGGCCTGAGGAGGTCGGAGGCAAATCACAGTGGAGGACAAATTCTCAATGGCAAATCACAGTGGACACCTTGCAATTTGAGATGCTGAGATACTCAAGTCTCTCTGACACAACACCCGACAAGTCAAAGTAGAAACTAATTTCGAGGCCACCCTCACTAGCATGATCCCAACCAAACCTTCAAATCCACTTAGGTACTAATTTCAAACAAACGCTTGGGAGATGCACGCCACACGAGCGATGGAGTACCAACGCGTGAAGGCCTTGCCCTTGAGACATCTAGATTCTAGGTCTGGAGGTTTACTCTATATATGGTTTAGACTCTAGACGTTTAGACTGAGCAAGGGTCAAGGTCTCACACTCACAGTTTCCAAACCCTCTCTGAAGATGCACTTGAACAAAAGGTTAGCGGGGAAGTGATCTTTACCAGTGGACCAGTTGTTGCATCTACGTGTCACTGATCTGTCCGAAGAGTTGGGCCACCCAGCAGGGAACTTGGTGTAAGGCCGGGCAAACTCTGTGATGATGTCAATCAATGGAAGACACCTCAAGTCTACAAGAACTCGGAATACATCTATGTCCTCAAATCAAGACCAAAACATCAAGTTTAGTTGTTTGGAGCGATATCCAACTTAGTAACATCCAGCTTGCTGTAGCCAAAGAAGGTCTTCATGGGCCCCATGCAGTGAGTGATCTCCGAGTGGCTGAGGCTCTTCAGTATTGGATGGAGCCAGGCCGATATCCACCATGTATGGCAAAAGGTCTTCCTTGCGCACACCTGCAATGCAACCAATGCAACTTGCTACTTTGTCTTCTATTGTCTTCTACTACAACTACTACTTGTCTTCGGCATTTGAATGCGTCTAACTGGACGTGCCATACATCTAAACTTGCCCACCATGAACCCATGTTCTAGTTCAAATATGCAACTCACCAGGGCCTTGTATCTATTGGACTTCAACTTAGACCCACTCTCTCTCTCTCTCTAATTGGACCATGCATTTGTCCCTTCTTTCTGATTAGCAAGTGATGAGTGCCTTGGTCCGGCTTGTTGAAGGAGTAGCGCTCGAAAATCTTCCACAAGAACGGCAAATTTGAGCCTGCAAGAGGAGAAGACTAGGCTCGCCACCCAGATTACAAATACCGCCCTTGATGCCTAACTAGACTAAACAGCCTGAAAAAAACAGTTTCCATCTTTTTCTTATGCTAATTTGGAAAGCACACTGTGGTCCAGCCATTCGCTGAGGGACCTCAAATCGACCTAGCCAACAGCCAACAGGAGAAAAGCGTACCTTGTTCAATGGTTGGTTGCCGTCCTCATTGGCAACTCTTCAAACACCCAGCGGCATCGTTCTGCACCCCATGAAGGTTTTCTGAGTCACCAAGGAACGAAACTCGTGCAGAATCTCGGGCTCCAAATCAAACCTCAGGTGCAGTGTCAAAGCCGGTGATCGTTCCTTCAATTCCGGGAAAGTATGTTGTTGAACAGAACTACATTTGGCCTGCAACATTTCTCACTACGCAGGGGATTGACGATTGCCCGACCACCAAACACGCCATGTAACTTCTTTGCAATCTGGACTTCTTCTCGCCGACGAAGCGTCAGCAACTTGGCTCTTACCTGAAAACTCCAGTGATGCCGCTGCAGAATTTACCTAGCCTCAATGATTGCAGTAAACGCATCAATCTCAACAACTCTCTCACACCAAACATGTGCAATTTGTTGTTGCTCGAGGCCGACTTTCTCATCTTGAAAGAAAAACTGGTCCAGCGTCTGTTGGCCCCCCTTGGGGCAACGGGCAGTCCCACATATGTATCTAAATGTACAATAATCAATTTTGCATGACGACACTTTAACCGACCTATGTTGCCTTGCCTTTTGGACAAAAGCTTGAAACTCGTCCAGGTTCAAACAACCTCAGTTACTTTGAGTCACGTCCACTCCGAGTGTGTCTACGCAAAAAGCTCGTGCGATCATTTTCGAAGGCATCTGAGAATATCTTGGGCTTAACTGTCATTTCTTCTGCTCTGGCCGTTTCTGGCATATTTTGGCTCCACCAGGGCCGTTTGGGTCCAATTCAAACTCAGCAGGCTTGGGGCTTTCTGGGGCTTCCTGCCATCACAATCCGCGTCACACGACGCGAAAATGTTCACAGCCTGGTTGGCCAATGATAGGCTTAAAGCGGATCCAACCCAAATGAGATTGGATATTTTCTCGAAAATTTCAGGGCTTGATATGTGCAATGGCGAGATGTACCCGACTTTTGAGGCATCTCAATACCCCTGGGTGAGAAAAACACAACCAAACCATCTATTCCAGCCACGCTTGAATTGTTAGAGTTGCAACATGCGAAAGCAGCACGGAACTGCGGTGCAAACCTCTGAGTGTTCTTCTTGTGAGCGCAAGAAGAAACCAAGCTTGTTCTCCTGGCAGAATGCTCAAATGCTTCTGTGTGACGACCTCAGGGGCCTGAGGGTCCATTCACCGTCTTCGGTGACGCTTCTTCCCTCGACAGGTTCTGAATAGCATCGTTCGGGCCTGATAGAGCTGCCAATTGTATGCGAATGAACGATGACTTGTTCACCAACCAGCGTGCTCAACACAAAAGTGTTTGACTGCAAACCTTGGCAAAACTAACGTCTTGAGGAGTTTCAGGTAAGATCACTAATGTACACTATATAAGTATGCCGACTCAAAGCCCAGTTCGAGTCGCTTCTCTCCAGAAGCGAAAAGATCTTCAGCATCTCCAGGCTGTCTACCCCAAGGATGTCTGCCTCATCTGCTGGCAGCGGCTGAAAGAAGTTGGGCAAGGGGAGTGGGAAGGTGCTGCCTTGTTACTACCTAGTAGTTGTTATTAGTAGCGATGGCCTCCAACCCAATAGCGATGGCCTCCACCTGATGGCGTCCTTGTTACTAGTATCGTCCTTGTTACTAGTCGCGATGGCCTCCACCCTACTTGCGATGGCCTCCACCAAATAACCGTCCTGGTTCATGCAACCACACAAAGGTTAACCACATGTGCAAAAGGAAAGGGGCTTGCGGCCTGCGTGATCTTGCGTGTGCTATTTTGGCAATCAAACATGCGATGACTCTTGTGGAGGTCCTGTGGGCTGTTTGCAGCACCCTTACCCCTTACACTATCTACAGCCTTCTGTCAGGTTCTTGCCAGAACCCAAGTGCTCCCGAAAAATTGAAAATGTCTATATAATATATATTCTAGTAATTTCTAGTATGACATCTCACTAGTCTAAGCTGGTTGTTGGTCAGTCTGTATTTGATGTTTACTGTACCTTTTCTCCTGGCCTCATGGAAGAGCCGCCAGCATTTGATGCTCTGCACCTCACCATCAAACACAAGTTCAAGGGAAACTGGTAGCTTGCTGAGCCTCGATGTTTGACTCACTACACTCCAAGTGCCCAGACTTGGCACCAATGCAACAGTTAAAACAACACCAAATGACACAAACATGCATTTGTGAGGCTCAACCTACACATGGAAGCAAAAGAAAAAAACGTTTCAAATAAAATAAACATTGGAGACCTATATTATATAACTTCTTTCTTGATTGCAGTCTTCGCTGCAATACTGCTCAACCAACTACAAGTACCTATACTTCAAACAAAGTATGGCATAGCTACCCAAAGTGCACACAACACTCTCTTATCAAAAACAACTGCGGTGATCTGTAAACTGGTACACTATGTTATACTTATGTTGTTTAGCTATTGAAAAAACTGTGCTTGGCCCGGCCAAGTCAATGTGCGACTGACATGATCTATCTGGTCCCTCCTCCACAGGACGATCCCACCAAAAGCACCTGCTTCAAACGCTCCCTCACAGACTTAAGAAGGTCCAAAAAGCCTTCAAATTCGAACTCCTGCAAACTGATGTCCAACACTTAAACAAATACAACTTCTTGCGGCTGGGATCCACGAACCTACCAAAGCACAAATGGAGTGCCGTGACAAAGTGTTTTTAAGGAATCTGAATGGCTAATCAGTATACTCACGGTCAAGGATTGCAGTTGCAATGCCGACACCCTCAAAAAAAAACATGTGGAATCAAACACAACATTGCAAAACATCACGGAAACATACGGAAAGTAAATCTGTTTCCTCGCAGCCCATCTTCTGAGTCTTCTCGTTGATGCATTCGGTGACCTGGTCAAAATCGCTGAATCATGCGGCCACCCGGCCGAAGCATGAGAAGCAATGAAACACGTTCGTGACCACAGGTCCCAAATTGAGCCAAGCATAGCCAAACGGCCAAGTGTGACAGTACGTGTATTGACCATGGACCAACGAAATCTTCAGCGCACGAAAAAGAAAAAACTACCAACATCAGCTTAGAGTAAAAATTGGGTCACAAAGTGCTCGGGCATTTTAAGCCTGTGGAGAAAAGGTTGCTCGACCACCACGCAGCCGCAGGGCAATCCAGGCACATCGATCCGTTGCATCAACTGACAATGCCGAAGCAAACTAAGACTGGCTTGCAGTTGATGAGGATGGTGAAAAGGAGGACGAAAATGTAAAAGAAACTGCCTGAGATGGGAAAACAATTCCAAGAAAGGTGTGTTCTATCCACCAAATCAAGTAGCACTAATCATCACCGAATCATTCCAGCCAAATCTTACAACTCACGTGATATGCAAGTGCGTAAAGTAGTGCGTCTATCTGCCCTGGCTGCGGTGAAGATCAAAATCTTCAATCAGTAGGTCAGTAGGACGCTTCCGCTAAAGATTCCACTGATGAGGGAGAAGGCATCGACAACGGAGAAACTCAAAGAGTAGCAGGTTAGTACGACAAGGAGATTCGAGGAGCCCGGGTCTTTGGCTTTTAGAGCTGCTTCTAGATCTTCTAGCAATTACAGTTCTGGACACGCTGATCATTATGTCCAGAACTGGTGGCCAAAAGTCAAATGACTGAGCTCAAGCAAATGGCGCAGTGACGTGGGCCTGGGTAACACTGCCGTATGGCACCCAGTCTTGGTTGATGTTTCTCATTGTTGCTGCGCTCATGCCCTTTAAAGTGCTACCCAAGCCCGGAATAGAAGCGCAAAGGGCCTCTCACGGCCGTGATTGATGGTCCACGGCAGTGGCTTGATGCCACCACCTCTGAGCTGCGCTTCATCAGAGTACCAGCTGAGAACATGATGCCCGGATGGATCAAAACTGCATACTTTTCTTTTGGCACAATTGGTTGCTGGAAGCAGAAACGCTAACAGGGTGGCAGTTGCTTCTCGCCGTGTCCAACCGCTTTGGAAGCTGATGGGTAAGTGTGCAGGTCTCGGCTACTTTTGCATCTTTGGCCTGGAGGCACTAAGCAAATCACAGCTGGTGGGCTCCCAATCACATGGAGCCACAAGGGCTAGAAGAGCAGCATTGAGGCAGCGGCGAAAAAACCACTGCAGCGCCAGGCCTTGTGGGCCATCCAAGTGTCAACAACCCACATGCTGCCATGTGGCATTGCCTTCTTACGGCCTATAGTGCATCTTCCTCCTTGGCGTTTATTTACTTCCTTTGAATCATGCCCAGTGCCCTCTTCTTCCACGTCAGTGCACCTATCCCTGCCCAGCACTTGCATTGCTTTGGCTGCTTTCAATGCGTTTTGCTCATTCCGGGCCAGCACTTCAATGCGCGACCCACAGACAGTCATGCAAAAGTTGGACACCAACGTCCAAAAGACCAGGTCTTGAGCCACTCTGCGCGGCGATGCTCAGGGCAGTGGCACCACTCCGCCCCGTCCGCCCTTGCAGGTCCATGGCAACGCCGTTTGTCAAGATTGCTCTGACCTTCTCGACCGTATTTTGGCGAACAGCCTACATTTATGACATAAAGCTGCCTGCTATGTCTGAAAAGCCTTAAAATATTTATTTTAGGAAAATAATAGGAATAAAATAGGAACAATAGGAACTGAAAAAAGGAAAAAAAACGGACACAAAGAGGATGAGTCTCAAAAATAGGAAAAGAAAAGAGCTGGATTTAGAAGTAGGAAAGGAAAAAAAAGGAAAAGAATGGCAGCACTCTAGGACAGGAACATGAAATGGATACGAAGAGCAAATGACTGGAAGCAACATACTGGAAGCAAATTTCCGTTCATTTTCCTATAAAAAATGGATTACTTCATGTCATTTTCCTTTAAACCATCCGTTTATTTTCCTTTAAAAAATTATTAACTCCGTTCATTCTCAATAAACAAATGATAAATTCCTTTAATTTCCCTTCAAAAAATATAGATTCCTCTAATTTTCCTTTAAAAAATGATGAATTCCTTTCATTTTCCTTTGAAAAGTTATAAATTCCTTCAATTTTCCTTTTAAACAAATAAATTCCTTTCATTTTCCTTGTAAAAATTCTAAATTCCGTTCATTTTCCTTTAAAAAAATGATCCTTTCACTTTCCTTTCAAACATTGATTATTTCCTTTCATTTCCTTTAAAAACTAAAAATTTCCTTTAAATATATATTTTTTACTTATTGTTTATAATCCTATTGTTTTCATATTTTTTTTTGGGGGCCTGAAAATGATCATATTTTTCATATTTTTTGGGGGGGCCTGAAAATCGTCCCATGTTCTTCCTATTTTTCCTAATTTTTCCTATTGTTTTACTAATTTTTCCTTTTTTCCTATTTTTTCATATTTTTAATTTAAAAAATAGGAAAAATAGGAATTGAACATTGGAAAAAATAGGACGATTTTTGCACCCCCCCAAAAAATAGGAAAAAATAGGAAGTGAAAATAGAAAAAACTAGTACGACATAGGAAGTGAAAATAGGAAAAAATAGGACGATTTTCGCCGCCCCCCCCAAAATAGCAAAAAAATAGGAATAAAAACAAATTACATAGACAATGAAATGAATTTATTTTTTAAATGAAAATTACATAAATTTAAAAAATCTTAATTGAACATGAAAGAAATTGATCATGTTTAAAGGAAAATGAAAAGAGTTTATATGTTTAAAGGGACACTAAAAGAATTTATAAGTTTTAAAAGGAAAATTGAATGAAGTTTTAATTGTTTAAAGGAACATTAAAGGAAATAATCAATGTTTCGAGGAAAATGAAAGGACATAATTGGATCTAATCTAATCTAATCATTCCAATCGAATGCCGGCCTAACTGTGCATTGCCGCACTGCTATTAAATATCCAGTTTCATTCACTTGTGTCTGACCATGCGTCTGATCGGAATGAGCCACCTGCCTTCCGGTAAATCTGAAATATTCGATCCTATTTGTTTCCAATTTCACGGTTGTTCTTGTTGTCAGCCCTATTTTATTCCTATTTTGTGTTGTCAGCCCTATTTTATTCCTATTTTGGGGTCCTATTTTATTCCTAAAAATAAATATTTTTGAACACTCCAGAGATAGCAATAGCTTTTTTTCATAAGCCTACATCAGCGTGGACCAGCCGACTTTGTCCAGGTTGATCTCTGGGTGGCCAAGACGGCCTCCACAGCCTGACCCAATGGCGGGCAGAATGGCCGGTCTTGTCTCTGCAGGTCGAGGTTGGGGTTGTTCGACAAGGGAGTCAAAGCCTCGGAGTTTTCACAGGCCGCCCACATCAAGGGAGTCATGACGTTCTCATCTGTCGTGTTGATCGCCACTCTCCAGTTGCTGGAGTCTTGCCACATCCCCGTGCTGCACGGCCTTAACAAGCGGTAAAGCTATGCTCAGGCCCAAGAAAGACCAGAACATCCGGTGCACCATGACGACCATCGACGGCAACGGAACGAATGTTACCTGTGGGCTGGTGTGGATTTGCACAAGCCAAATTACTCACTGGAGCGTGGAGAGAGTGCGACAGGAGAACTGCTACAAAAGACTCCAAATCTCTGAAGATGAAATCTGAAGGAAAAAAGGCAAACAACAAGCAGAACAGCACATGCCGTACACACGCTTGCAAACGGTGGTTTTCCACTCATGTCCGTCAAACGTCTTGAAATGGCCACCTCGCACTTCTCCTCACGATTTTGCGGGGTGAGGCCGATATCTGCCAGGATATTCCTCACCTCCTGGGGGCAAGCCAATCAAGCATTTCTGGCCATTGAAGGTCAGGAGCTAACACCTAAGTCCTTCGGCCGTGGCAAATAGTATTTACAATTATTTACATATTTGTACCTAGTAGAGGGACGAAGCGTAAGAAGGATGCAAAGACTATGCTAGAGGCATCTCAAAGAACTTTAACGGAATGCTACTTTTGCACAGCTCATGCCACGTAACTGCTTGGCCGTTCTCCTCCAAATCTAAAGTGCCGGAGCCATCGAAATCATAGTGCCGGAATTGCACGTCCAAATGGCTAACCTGACAGATTTGCGCTGATGTGGTCTCGGGAAAAGCATTGGGAAAGAAACTCCTCAGCCAAGAGTAATCATTATTCAAGGGTTCTGGAGGCGACCAAAGGCGTTGGTTGCCCATAATATAGCTTTGTGTGGCGGAAACAAAACAAATTGTGTTTTTTCTTCGGCTGACCTTCCCCCCTGGACTACTCAATTCCAAAACTTCACATTGCCCATTTACTCCACCATATGCATGTTCATCATCATCCTGTTTCCGCAACCATCGAATCTCTAGGTTTTGAATGTTGCTAGCCTGATGCAAGCTCAAAATGTACATCAAAGATTGCACTGCCTCCTGCTCTGGCAAACCCATCTTCAGTGCTAAACCTTTGAGCTCCTGCGAGCGTCTCGCACGCGGCCTAGGACCTCCTAGGACCCTAGTACATCCCGATTCTTCAGCGTGGAATGGTTCCTCCTTGTACTTCAAAACATCAATGCATCAAGAAAGCCGACCCAATGACCATTCGGCATCAAATGCCAAGCGCTTGAAAAGTTAGTTGCAGTTCGTCCTCGTTGGAAATGCCATACTGGTCAGGACGGTTCACACTGCCACCCTGCGACAGGTCATTGACGGCAAAGGGCAGGTCTGAAAGTTATAATCTTGCATGTTTGGCAAGTCTTTGTTTCCTGGTATATCCTAGTATGTGCAGAACTGCAAACTGGATACACATTCTTGCTCCCCTCTCCTTTGATAGCTTTGTGTCGAACAGTTTCTTCAAGTAATCGATGCGCTCTGTGTGGTTCATCTGCATGTACCTGGTCTACAGGGCCAACATATGATCAAACAATCATGAATGCCTCTGCACTTGCGCGGCATAGGAGTAGCTTTCTGGCTTGTCTGGATGGCTGGCATTGCATCATCACGAGCTTGAAATGAATCTTGCATATTTGAGGCCATCAATGCCGCAATGCCATCCAAGCGTACATCCCTTGAACTTGGCCAAGGAGCTTGAAAGCCAGGTTGATACATCTTCGTGTCTGCCCCATCACCTCAATGTGATGCTTGAAACGCCCTCCAATCGCTGTTGGTTCCAACTTCAAACTAGCAAAACAACTTGGCAATCAATAGATGTGCTGTTCATGAACGGAACCCGAACTGTATGAAATGCGCATCGAGGTATCATGAATGCTTCCTCTCCCAGCACAGCTCGCGAACTGCTCAAACTGCAGGAGGTTCAGCCAGGTCGCATCTGCTTGAACTGCCCTGCGACGACCCTTCAACCTGGCCCGCCAGCGGATTTTTTGCAGGATGGACAAATCATGTGTTTGGCCACTTTGTCCCTGTCCAACTTTTTAGTGAAACAAGGGTAACAGTGGTACGAGTGAGTTTGGCACTTATTCTGACCAATTTAGGCAAAAATCATTCTTCCGTAAACTGCAATCAGCAGCTCATAAGCATTCAAAGGCAAATTAACGAAAGCATCCGCTTTAAGTGTTAGTATGTATTAGTGCACTTTGGCATTTCTTTGGTTTCTCAAATTCTTTTGCTTCGTCTTTCGTGGTATCGAAACAACGTCGCATTGCTGGGCAAAAGCTAGCTGCGGGAATCATGCAACCACGCGCCTGCTTTCCTGCCTTTGAAATGTTTCAAACTTGTTCAAGCGCTGGTCGCGGCGGCCTCAGCACTCAGCACTCCAAATCTATTGCCATGGTCAATTCATCTGGGATATATTTTTGCTGCAAGATGCTTGCAAGACAACCCAAAGTCAACTTGTCAAAACTCATCTACAACATGGTGTTCAAGTTTCAAGTGCTTTTTTCAGTGGCTCTTCGGCAAGCATGGGGATAATCTCTTGATTTTAGATGGTTTTAGATTATTTTAGCGTCAAGCTTCGCAGGGGCACTCATAGTTCCACAGCTTCGCAACCACCCCTGCCCCTTGCGCCATGCCACCCCTTGACCGTGATGCCAAGAAGACAGAGTTTTCCGACCTTCGCTTGATGGGGGCGGGGAGGCAGGACTCCGCGATTGACCAGGCGTGGCAAGGCCTCATCCGCTACTAATCAAACATTGATCAAAGGACGCTAAGAGTAGCTTCTTGTTACTACTAGTAAGGCACTTGTTCCTAGTAGCGATGCACTTGTTCCTAGTAGCTTCTTGTGAAGATGGTGGCCTGTCGGCATGTCTCTTGGGTCTGGCACATCTCCACAAGCACTGTCTTCTAAGTTTCGTTAAGGTTCCCATAGGAAATCCCCGTGAAAAATCCCTATCCACCCAGGACATGCGGTTGAAATGGACTGGCCATCCACCCAATTGAGCCAATCGAGCCACGAGCGCGCCCTCTCGAGCGCGTCTCTGAAGCGCTCCACTGGCAAAGGTAAAGCCTGGCGGAACACCGAACGGATCTGAACGGACTGCAAATAGCTTGAACAGCTCCTAGTAGCGTCCTTGCCCCTGGTAGGAATGCCCTTTGCTCCTACTAGCTTATTGCTCCTTGTAGTGATGCCAGGAGCTACTAGTAGCGTCCTTGCTCCTGAATGCAAAACACAATTCCACTTGTTGAGGGCTCCACAATGTCTTCATGCTTCAAAGGTTGTAAGCTCTCTGATGACTTGATGCTTGTACAAAGCTCAGCCAAACCAACCAATCCTGCGACTACACTATATATATCCAGCACCGAAGCAGGATTTTGGTGGATCAAGTGAAGCAAGTGGATCATGTAGCCAAATGCACCAGGTGTACCGCATATTAGATCTGGCGGGAGGAGTGCTAGTTTGTCTACAAACCTGGTGGCTAGAATTGTCACTCAAACAAGGGGACCAGCTTACAAAAAACCATAACCCTTCCAATGGCCCTCAGGTCAAACAGGTGCCTCAACAATTTAGACTTCCCGAGACTCGCTTGAGGCTCAAAGCTCATCAAACAAACGAGGAAGAAAAGAAAAAAAGGGCTTGTGGACAGTAGTTGAGTTTCCCTAAGCATCTAGGAACCAAATGAATAGTGCGAGCGTGAGCTATTCTGCGTCCATACTAGCAGCTCAAGTAAGGTACTAGCTACCTCATTTCATTACTTAATTATATAAGTAGGCGCCCACTTAATGTAAGGGAGGGGGGAGCGGGCTAAAAGAAAAGAACTACATAGAAGTCATGACGTGAGTCTGAAGATCTCTGAAGGAGACTGGTCATTAGGGCCATTGAGGTCTTTGGCTCCCGGCTGTCACAGCGTCACGCCGCGTCACCCTGGCATCGCCAGGCCCGGATTTCCAAGGAAATTGGGCGATGGAACGGACATGGAAGGGGGAGGAAAGCTTGTGCAGGGGTGTGCCGGTGTGCCTTCAAAAAAGTGCAGATTTTGTGCTGTGGGAGGGAGGTTGGCCGCCCAGTTGGCTGGGAGGGCGCAGCGCTGCAGCACCACCCTCCACCCCAAAAAGAACACACAAACCGTGAAGAAAGGAAACGAAAGCAAACTCCCCTGTTCTAGATTCTGCCCTCGCCCTACGGATGGCTCCCCCAAAAGTTCTACACCCTGGTGGATTACAAGAGGTGCGCTCTAAACGTTACCCTTTCGGTGGCTCACAAAAGGCATGCTCGTATTTCTTCCCCTTTCTTTCGTGCCCTGACTACCCGCTAGGAAAACAAGGACATGCAAAAACAATTCACAAAATTAATGGCCCTCCCATTGCGAGCCTGATTGAAGCCGTGGCACAGTATCACTATCTTTCAGACTAAGTTTTAGCGAAGCTGTTGAAACTACCAAGCACATTTGGGAAACAGGGGGAATCCAGCACGGGCCACATTATTTATATATATATATATATACCAAGAATACGAGGGAACTCTCACGTAATTCAGGCAAGGTTCGCGCATTCAAGTACAAGAAGGTTTTGTGCTCCATACCGTTACTTCTTTTCACTTGAAAGAGTTCTCAATGAGATAACCTCCATGATGGATCATGATTGTAGAAAACGTGACAAAGTCTTAGCATTGGATTTGGCAAACATTGAGAACTCGGGCGGCCCAAATCCGTTCATCTTCAACTTCCATTAGCGGTACATACCGGTATCTGAGTTGGAGCCTCCGCTGCGACGGAGTTGGTCCCACACCCAGCAGCTCGCAATATCTCAGGGACCAGCCAGGGGCAGCCTGGAACAAACCACATCCTTCTGGGCATTGGCAATATATCCGATATCTTACTCTTCTGAAGGCCATTGGACAATCTTAGAATCTTAGAACATCCTAGAACCTATTAATTCTTCAGCATCCATATCATTTGGACAAACAAGTTCCCAATCCTGGACTTACTTATTGGGTGAGGTTTCTGGCCACCCCTTAGAAACAAACAATAAACTTGAACAAACCAACTGCTCAAAGGGATCAAATTCGTTTTTGGATGGCCAATTCTTGTGGACAATCAAATAGCTGATCGCTCATTCCAGTCTGCAACTATAGTTGACCGCTTCCATACCGAACCTGCCTGGGTGGTGCGGGGTCTGGAAGGCATAGTCTTCATGGTGGTCTGAGTACAATGTCACAGAATGCAGGAAACAATGCAATGGCCAGCAAGTGTGGAGGCAAACTACTCATTTCTGTTGGACATGATATAACAAGATAGAGAACCGTCATCACTCTCAGAAGAAAAGGTGCAAACTACCCTGATACAAAACGCTGCTCCGTTCCTTAAGCTGAAAGTGCAGCTGCTCCGTTCAAAGGTGCCCATGGACGTTTCCATTTGCGAGGGCGCCTGCTCTTCGCACGAGATGCCTCGGTTTGGCGGAAGGCCTCCCACCTTATCGGTTTGGAGTCATTCAAACGTCAAGGCCACCTCAAGTGCATTAGGAGTTCTTGCAAGAAATCTTACGTAGATTTATATACAGTAAATGAACCTGAGGTAGCACAAAAACACACAAAAACATGCGTGAAAGCCAGGGTGGAAAAGTCAATACATGTCAATACTGCAATGAATGAACAAGCACCGGCTCTGCACGCGTCTGGATAAACAGGTTGGCTAAAATCATTGGAGTGGAACGTTTGCACATGTGCTGAAATGTTACAAGTACTGATCCATTGTCAGCTCGCTGGTTGTAGTTCCTGTTCTTCTTCGTGTTGTATTGTTGTGTGATTTGTATGCAGTTGCTCCGACTTTGGAGTTTGAGTCGGGGGCTCGCCTCCTGACAGCTTCGCTCACGATACATTTGGCTGACGACTGTATGACTCTATAAGGCCAGTGCTGAGCAAGCCCACCACTGAGCTCATCTCGCTTTTGGCAAGCCGTTAAATGTTCATTCAGGTCTCAATTGTTGGATAAAGGCAGCGGGGGCAGCTTCCTTGAAGAAGCGTGAGCATGCGCGAACTATCCTGCGTCCAGTTCCTAGTAGCTTAAGTAACCTATAGCTACTAGCGGCCTACCCCTCCGGGCAAAAAAAACAAACAAGAATGAGGCGTTGGATCTATCCTGGGCATGAGGCGTTGGGATCGGCTGCTGCTGCACCGACGATCGCTCAACGACTCTGTGCCGCGGCCTGGGGAGTTCGGCAGCATCTTGACACCTTCAAAGGAAGCTACTAGTAGCAAGGTGCATCGCTACTAGAAACAAGAAGCTACTAGGGGCTCCTGGCCTTACTACTAGTAACAAGAAGCTACTAGTAGCAAGGTGCATCGCTACTAGGAACAAGAAGCTACCAGGGGCTCCTGGCCTTACTACTAGTAACAAGAAGCTACTAGTAGCAAGGTGCATCGCTACTAGGAACAAGAAGCTACTAGGGGCTCCTGGCCTTACTACTAGTAACAAGAAGCTA